AAATCTCATGAAGTATTTCTTTTATAATAGGCTTATGACAGGTCATTCATCTACAACATACCTATGAGAGATATTCTCACCATAAGATGACTGTCAAAGACTTCTTGTCTATAAGAGACATGTGCGAGTTCCTAGAATACTTTTAGCGGATCTTCTATCTGTGAAAGTTCCTAGCTGCAGTATATCTTTCTTTAATAAATAACTTGTGGATATATTCTTAATATGAATGTGAGATCTTCTATAGAGATTTTGTATGTATGGAACACTTCTAGGAGATCCGCTATATATAAGACCTAAAGGAACTCTTTTATATAAGAGCTATATTCTTTATATAGAAAATATTTAGGAACTACAGGCTTATGACAGGTCATTCATCTACAACATAACTAACTATTATCGCGAGGTCCTAGAAGATATTTAGCGGATCTTCTATCTGTGGAATCCACGTCAGAGTATCCCATATACAAAATATGTTTCTTTAATAGAAAATATTTATAATCTGGAAAAACGTCTTTTATATAGGGAAGACCTCAAAAAGGACTATGTATGTATATCCATTAATTATATTTCATGTACCCCACTGATTATTACGTGTGCGTGATGTTGTTATTCTTGTTTCCTTTTTGCTTTTCAATAAGTTTCATGTATCATTTCAACATGTTTCTTTTCGAACGATTTGCTGGTACGCTTTCATTTGGAGAAAGGCTAGGCAAAATAGAAAAAAAGAAAACTACAAAAAAAAAAAGAAAAACAGAGAAACTTAAATGAAAATAGTAAAATATTTAAAAATACACATACACGATGACTAGAAAGACGAAACTGAAAAAAGGTCGACTTTGGCGACCAACCATAATTCTATAGGTTAGTCTGGTTATGCGACGTAATGTCTCTTCCAATGTCGTTTAATGTGAGTTCCTGTCTATGTGAATCGTCGGCATTTTCGGCAAATAGATATAAGAGAACGCACATATTTGCACAAATATGTAGGTGTGTGTCGAACACGTACTGCTTACTTACATTCCGAACCACAGCGCATAGTATATGTCCTCTCTGTACTTAGTAACGACTCTGGAGACATGTGAATTACTTTTTATGGCTAAGCAATGGCCTCTACGTCATATGTCAGACAAAATAACATTAAGAATGTTACGCACCCGCCCCGAACCATCAGTTTTCAATAACTATATAGTTATTTACATACGCATATGACACTATACATTTACATATGTATGCGAGTATATTAGAAATATTGTCATTTATATGTTAATTTTGTAACAAATAAACAACAAACAATGCCCATAATATATTTGTTTGTGTGTTTTATTTTTTTCTTCTTGTTAAGTAAGAGTCAAGTCCATGTGGTAATACTTATTGAGATAGTGAAATGGTAGAGGTTTTCAATATATGGGATTGGTGAACTAATTTTTTGGATTACATTCTAGTATTAGACAATATTCCAAAGAGAGTGAAAATCCTTTTTGTTTTTGTTTACTTCATAAGCGTATTTGTTAGCACAGAAACAAAGGGTGTCGCCAATATATCTGGTTATTTGTAATAGTTTCCTAGTGACCCTTAGTTTATGGTTTTCTCCAAAAACCATACTTTTTGTTATATTTTGGAACAGTAGGTTCAGGATGGGGTGTTCTCCTAATAGTATCTCCAATTGTCGTATTGAGACTACCTTGAAAAAGGAACGAGTATCAAGAGCGACAAATCAATTGTCTTTCGAATGGTTTGCGAAACCGAAATGTGGACCGGTATTGATAAAATGCTGCAATTTATAGGCCAAAGTTATATGAAAAGTTATATTATATAGTTATATTATATATCACCAACGTACACAAGTTTTTATGTATGGTGTGGTAGATGCTGGTTCAATAGATGCGTACATCCCTGGAGGCTAGGTCATTATTATGGGTAGATTATATTATATCATTGTATGGGGGCTAGGCCTGATGCTGGTCGATATATTTCATTCTCGAATCTGACGTTCTAGTTGTTTATCTCGATATCCTCCAATGGTAGAATTAAAACCCTCAAAATATTAAAAATTTGGGAATACCGTTATATGAGGGCTATGGGAAATGTGGACCTATATTTATAATCTTTAGAGGAGAGACTACAAAATACCAAATTACAGCAAATTCGATTGAAAAGCTGTATCAAAAACCCTAAAATAACGAACATTACGGGTAGCGTTATATGGAAGCATCCCCAAAAAATAATTTTCAGTGGAGACTAAATTTTAACGAATCATGAACTCTAAATTATCGAAAAATATACAATACAAAATATACAAATACCCTTATATGGGGACTATGCATAAACGTTGGCCGATATATCCCATCTTCGAACTTGACCTGTAGACAACCATATGCAAAATTTTTGCACCTCATCTCCTTCAGAAAATATCGTGGTTACAACAGACTGATGGACAGACAATGCTAAATCGTCTAAGAATTTTACCCTGGTCAAGAATGTATACATATACTTTATAGGATCGACAATTAAATGAGGAGTGACCTCTATATAGGAGCTTTACCGAGTCTGTGACCTATATACATTTTATAGCCTTCACCATACTCTGGTATTATGTCTTTGTGCATATTTTTGTAACAGGCAAAAGGAAACGTGATAGACCCACGGTTCCTTTTGAGAATATTTATAGAATCTTTTCGCATTTATAATCGGAATTGGATGAAATTTGGCACAGCTCATTTATTGGACCCAAAGACGAACCCTATTGAAATTGGGAAAATCGGTTCAGATTTAGATAAGGTTCCATATATGGTTTCATCCGATTTTCAGTAAATTTTGCACCAATGCCCCAAAATGTGGTCTATTCGCACAAAATTTAACACAACATACTAAAGTTTGTAAAATCTACTGTGTAGCAACGTTTCTTTGAAATCGGTTCAGATTTAAATATAGCTTCCATATAGAGATTCGTCCAATTTTCAGTAAATGGTGCATCAAAGCCAAAATATGGCCGATTCGCACAAACTTTTGCACAACATACTGAAGTTAATACATCCTAACATGTGTCAACTTTTGTTGTAATCAGTTCAAATTTAGATATAGCTTCCGTATATAGTTTCGTCCGATTTTCAGTAAATGGTGCACTAAAGCCCCAAAATATGGCGGATTCGCACAAAATTTAGCATAACTCCTAAAACAGAGCCCATTGGCACACAATTTTGCACAACACACTGAAGTTAGTATAGGCTACTGTGTGTAAAGTTTCGTTGAAATCGGTTCAGATTTCATGTGAATGGTTTCTTTTTGTGTAATTTCATGTCAATGATTTTGAAAAATGGGACGTCTATTAGGGCCCATCTGTGGAATATACCCAAAGTGGTGAAGGGTATTATATAGTCGGCCCCGTCCGACTTTACTACTTTCCTTGCTAGTATTAAATATTTTACTCTTCAAAAATCTGAAATGCCACAGTACACCCTCTTAGGTTGGAAAATGTGGCTAGATATTACAAAATACTTTTCATTTGGAGCATATGCTGAAACATGGACCAATACTGCAAACTTTCTACGAGGGTGCATTTTATCGTCTGAGAAGCAGAAATTAACCCTCTGCTAAAATTTAATATGGAACCGGACCTTTTTGTTTTAATGCATAGCACTAGAGTGTTAGTTTTCTGACCCGAACTTTTAATTTCAATCATTTCAGAGGAAAATGAATCTCTTAACAATCCAAGAAATTTATTAGTGATCGTAGATATAAGTTTTTCTGAGCATGATTTTCTTGCAATCGATTTCCTGTCTTTGGGGACCTTATCTAAAATCTTGTTGTGGAAATTTGCAGTTCAACAAATCTCTTGTTGTGGCATTTAGTTTGCGCTTTGAGAAAATAAGGCCGAAAAAATATTCTTCATTCGATTTGACCGAAGACATATACTTTAGAATTATCAGCAAAAAGTATATAATCTCATAGGTCGAAATCTGGGCCTATGGAGAATTTATGCTTTTGGGTTCTGAATATGCTCTACAAGGAAATTCCCATCCCAAAGGCATGATTCCGCATTCGATTTGAACGAAGACATGTCAACTCATATACTTTAGAATTATCAGCAAAAAAATTGTCATCCCATAACTCCAAATCTTGATCTATGCAGAATTTATACTTCTGGGTTCTGATTCTCCAAGGGCTTTCATCCTTACAAGGAATTTTCCATCCCCAAAGACATGATTGCAATATTGTGCCCAGAGGTGGTCCTTGTGATGAATTTTTAGGTTTTCGACTGTCAAAAAGGTGTAAACGTCGAAAACGTCATATACCTGCATAAAATGTAATAAATGTAGTAAACGTCATTTATATCAATATTATCAGCATATATACAGTTATTCTCAAGAATATATATTATTTTTACATGTATCTGAGACTATTCCTTACTAGAACTGATAAAAATTTCTAAATTTTTTGAGAAGATAATTTTGATATTTTATATGGACTTGAGTAAAGCATGCGTAATTTCCAAATTGATTAATGGAAATAGCTATTTTGTCAAAAACCTAATGGATTTGTATAGGTTTCCGACGTTTCTGACGTATGTATTATACGTCGGAAATGTATGTAATTTACGTCACTGTTTCTGACAGGCCATCTCTGATTGTGCCACTGTATATTTTGAGATTTACATATAGCAAGTAAATATTGTGCAAATGAGTGGAGTGGTGGGGGTGATCATAAATATTAACCGAGTATCACCCATATGTATCACCTTGGCCAGAATCAGGACTGTATTAGGATTTTGTCGAATGTTCAGACAAGCACATAACTAATTCCAGTATTTATTTTATAAAAGGTGTTCGGCCTGGGATCAAAACTTCGTTATTATTACAGCTTAAGGACACAATAACACGCCCACATTCTAGATTATCATCAGAAGAGAATACCCATGATAATAAAAATTATGAACTTTTTTGTTGTTGTTGTAATATACGCTTTTTTATTCAATTCCTATAAAATCCAAACATTTTACATACCGTCAAATTCGATGTACGCCTTTCATTATCCTTTGTTGCAAAATTCCGGGTATTTATCATTAACGCCTCAGGCCAGAGGCTACTACGTCGTGGATGATGATGTCCAGTATTTGATGCTGTCATTGATGCTGGTGTTACGGCATAATTTCCCAAGCTATGTCGGCTAGAATTGCGAGTTATTTTTGGACGAGTTGTAGTCGTTGATATGGGTGTGGAGAACGATAGCGATTTACGATAGGGATACGGTTCGGGTGTAATGGGTGGTGAATTGGTTAAATTAAAAACACATTGTTTGTTTGGATTGGAACAGGTACTGTCCCGCATGTTGTTGTAGTTGCCATTGTTATTATTAAAATTGTTGGTGGTGTTTGTGTTGTTGTGGTTGTTATTGCTATACGGCATAAATGCCGGCATTGCATTTGCTGTATTGTACGATGAAGATGTTGTCGTTGTTGAATTTGGAGAAAAACATGCCATTGACGGGGTGGTGTTCGTAATGGTGCTGTTATTATAATCCGCCGTAGGCACCGGCGATGCTGGCAGTGTTAATGAACTGTTGTTTAGATTTTGTTTACTGCTGTTGTTGCTGGCACAGCAGCTAAGGCTGCTGTTGCTGTCGCCGCTGCCAAGACTACCCCCACCTGCGCTGGCATGGGGAAATGTGGCATCTGCTGTTGCCGCTCTCATTAGGGGATACGAAGATGCGGACGGTGACGCTGACGCCGCCATATCTTCAACAGCAGCACAAAGGGATAAGGGCGTGGGTGCCAGTGTGATGGATGCGGTTGTGGCCAATGGTGTGTATAGAGGTGGTGTCGATGTGTTTGTGTTCGATGGAGTTGGATTGTGTTGTTTGGCTGCAACACCATAGATTGTTGTGTCGTTAATATTGCTGCGTCGTTCCATGCATGTATAGTCATCGGCCGAGTTGTGTGTGGAACGCCAATGAACTCTTCGTTGTTTACAATGATTTAATTTTCTGCAGTTTAAAAATAAAACCGTTTTCAACTATTTCGAGTTAATGTAACAACAACAACAAAATCGAAAAATTATTGAAAAACAAAACGAAAAGTTTTCAGAAAAAAAGCAATACGATGCCGAACACGCACAATGAAACCGAAGATGACACAAAACAAAAATTCCTTAAAATTGACAGCCAACAGTTGTTGGAAAATTTGCTTGTGTCATTTGAAAAAAAAAACACGAGTACAACAACTGAGCGAAAAATAAAAACGTGAAAAAGAACCAAAACGCCACGAAAAATATCTCTCAAGAGATGACTAAGATTTCGGGCATAACAACATTGGACATTTCTTTCTTTCTTTCGTTCTTCGGCTAGGAGAAAACAAATTTAGCACAACGGGTAAAACTAAATTGGTTGGGGAAATATTTTCGTTTTTTTGCGTAGCTTTGTTTCTTTTTTGTTGGTGATGACAAAAACACAATTTTTTTTTTTTGGTATTTCGATGGGGACTATTTTCGTTGAGAACACTTTTTCATAATGGCAAAAATATGGGTTTCGTTGTGATTTGCTTTTTTTTCATATACATTTATTTCACATAAATTTCAAAGAGATTTCACTTTCAACACACTTTTGTATTTTTAATTTATTTGAATTATTTGTTGTTATTTTTTTAATTTATTAAAATTTTTGGTTATTTTTTAATTATAATAAATACTTGTTGTTATTTTTTATTTATAAATAATTTCATTTTTTTTTAATTTTTCCCTTTTCTCTTAAGGGGAATATTTCGTTGTCATTTCACATAAAGAATAAAACAGACACACAAGCTTTTATAAACAGCAATAAAAAATATAAGCAACATAAAATTTACACAATTTTTTAAGCAAAATAAATATTTATTTTTGTGATTTTTATTTATTTTTTTTTATTATCAGAATTTTCAATTTATTTATTTTTTTCCTTCAATATTATTTTTATTTTTTCTTTTTCAACATATATTTTCCAAATCTACTTTTGCTCTCCACAATTTTGCCGCGCGTTCATCTTTGCCTTTAGCATTCATTGATTTCACTAAATCTCTCGATTATGGTCACGTTGCGTATCAGCAGCAATCAGGCGGCGGCCATAACTAAAATCAGAGCAGAGACGTACGTCTCACTACCAAACAGAGCGAAGAGAATCAAAAAACGACAAGTGAAAACCTAAAAAAACCACAATCCCAACACAATTGATCACCGCAGATGGAGGAACTGAATTTATTTTGATTTTATTTTTTTCAATTTCACCGATCATGCCATGGCGATATAATGCCGTAAAATGCATAAGTCAATGAAGCGGTAAGAGAGGCAGCATTTTTCTGTGTGCCACCATCATCATCGGATAGACCACCACACCATTAGAGCATCATCAGAACATTATCCTCCGAAATATACACGTACGCACGCACACACACACACTCACACCCACTGAACGTTCTCATTGTCCGTGGCGATGGCATCAACAACATCGTCATCATTATTCTCCGGCATCATCACCAACCCCAAGTTGTCGTCATCATCATCCTCATTTTCTTCTTCAGCATCGGCGAGTGTTTATATTCGGCAACAAAAGTAAATAAAAATAACAACAACAACATTTTCCTTGTCTTTTGAACTATTTTTCTTATAGACAAGTAAAAACAAACACAAAATTAAATAATAGAAAATCGTTTTGGTTTGAGCGAAGGCAGGAACACTCTACTATCAAGTTTGGTGCACCATTTAACTAAAATCGAAACGAAAAATGTTGGGAAAAAAGAAATCCATTAGGCCGGTCGTCGAAAATGTCGATCAAATCGGAGAAATGATCGAAGTTGACCGGCATGTTAGCAGTCGTAACATTGCCCAGGAGCTAAAAATCGACCATAAAACTGTTTTAAAACATTTACACAAAGCTGGATTCGAAAATAAGCTCGATGTTTGGGTGCCACACCAATTAACAGAAAAAAATTGGATGGATCGAATTTCCATCTCCGAAGCCTTGCTCAAATGGAATGAGATAGACCCATTGCTAAAACGGATGGTGACTGGTGATAAGAAATGGATCACATACGATAACCCTGTGCGATCTAGGCAGCATTTTTCTAAAGAGCAATGAAGCACCAAACCAGGACTAACGGCCAGGATGGTTCTGCAATGCATTTGGTGGGACTGGAAGGGGATTATTTATTATGAGTTTCTTCTATATGGCCAAACGCTAAATTCTGATCTCTACTGTCAATAACTGGACCGTTTGAAGATAAAAATTGACCGGCAACGACCAGAATTGGCCAACAGGAGAGGTGTCGTGTTCCACCAGGACAACGCTTAGAAACACATCCACAGGGACTAGCCAGAAAGTTTTAATACAGCCGCCATACAGTCTTTTTTTGCATTGCAAAATTTCTTTAATGATAAAAATCTAGGGAGGATAGTGAAAATCACTACTAGGGTTTTTTTGCAAATAAACATCAACTTCTATTAGAGAGGCCTTATGAAGTTACCTTTAAAATGGCAACAAATCATAAAACAATACGGTGAATATTTAGCCCATATCGGACTTTCCCAATTATGTTAATCTATACCTAAATCTGAACCGATTATAAAGAAACTTGCCAGCGATTAATTTATATTAATTTCAGTACACTGTACAAAATTTGTGCCAATCGGAGACACTTTGGGTCTTTAGTCCACAATTTACATAAAATCGGAAGAAAATATATATGGTAGCATTATCTTAATCTGAACCGGTTTTTACGAAACTTCGCACACATCATTCTGGACTCAATTCAGTACGCTATGCCACATTTCATGCAAATCGAGAGATTTATAGGGTCTTTGGCGCTCCATTTACATTAAATCGGACGAAAATATATATGGGAGTTATATCTAAATCTGAACCGATTTTTACGAAACTTAACACTTGGCATAGCGACATATTTGACTACGCTATGCCAAATTTCGTGCAAATCAAAGGATATATAGGGACTATGGTGCACCATTTACATTAAATCGGACGAAAATATATATATTTAAGCTGTATAAAGATCTGGACCGATTTTTCCAATTTCATTGGGGTTCGTCCCTGGGCCAAATAAATGAGCTGTGCCAAATTTCATTCAATTGGGATCATAAATGCGATCTGTACTTTGTTTACGGACATGCATAAATTGACTCAGAAAGTGATTTTATGCATATTCTCAAAATAAACATGTGTCTATCTCGTTTCATGTTGCCTGTTACGAACATATGTACAAAGACTTAATTCCCCGTAACACAGTGGGGTGAACGGTATATAAATTTGGGGGATATCCTGAAACATGCGTCAATATTAACACGTTGACAGACATTTGCGTCTATAGCCGTCAAGTTCAAGTTCACTATGTGACATAGCGGCAATAGCCGTCCAATACGAAACGGTCGTTTTTATACCCTTCACCACACTGTGGTACAGGGTATTATATCTTTGTGCATATGTTTGTAACAGGAAAAATAATCGAGACAGACCCATGGTTCCTTTTGAGACTATGCACAGAATCACTTTCTGAGTTGATTTATGCATGTCCGTCCGTCCGTCTGTTGGTGTTAAATTGTAAACAAAGTACAGGTCGCATTTATAAACCGATTTGGATGAAACTTGGCATAGCTCATTTGTTTGGCCCAATGGCGAACCCTACTGAAATTGGGAAAAATCGGTTCAGAGTTAGATATAGCTCCCATATATAGTTTCGCCAGATTTAAGGTAAATGGGGCACCAATGTCCTTGCTTATCTTTCGATTTGCACGAAATTTGGAATAACGTACTGAATAGAGCCTAGAGTAATGTCTGCCATGTTTGGAGAAAATCGGTCAAGAGTTAGATATAGCTCCCATATATAGTTTCGTTCGATTTCATGCAAATGGTGCACCAAAGTCCCTATATATCTTTCGATTTACACGAAATTTGGCATCGCGTAATGAATTGAACCTAGAGTGATGTCTGCCAAGTTTCGTGAAAGGCGGTCCAGATTTAGATATAGCTCCCATATACTGTTTCGTCTGATTTTATGTAAATGGTGCACCAAAGTCCCTATATATATTTCGATTTGCACGAAATTTGGCATAATTAGGCTGAAAGGGACAAATCGTACTGAAATTAGTATAACCTAACCTGTGACAAGTTTCGTTGAAATCGCTTCATACGTGGATATAGCTTCCATATATATTTTCGCTTGATTTTAAGTAAATGGTGCATCAAACTCCAGATTGTCAGATTGGCATGAAATTTTCGAAATAAATTTAGTATGCAAAAATTTAGTAACACATTTGTTGCTTTTCATTACATAGTGTCTAGAGGCCGCTGGCGCCATGACGGTTGTAGCCGCCACCTAATTAAAGGCGCTGAATTAATCAAAATTAAGTGTATTTAACAGAAAGAGTAAAACTATACTTCTAATATTCTATTACAAAAACATATAGTGTCAATTTTCGAATTTCTGTCCGTAAACGTGTTAATAATTTTTGGATGTGTGTTCTTTAATGAGAAACAAAAAATATAAAATTACAGGAAAACATGTTCAAAATACCAAAAAAAAAAAAAAAAACAACCCCGAATACTTGGGGGTTCCGTTACATGGGGGATAACCTGAAATTTGGGCCAGTATTAATAACTTTTGTTTCGGAGATGATCTATACAATGAGATACCAAATTATAGTCAATTAGATTGGAAAAAGTTTCCAAAATTTCGAATATTGGGTAGTACTGTTATATGGTTCAATACCAAACATCCTAAGAGTTGTAGCATTGACTGTCCAAAATTTCAGAGCTCTATCTTAATAATTGCGATATCTATCGTGATTTTAAAGGCGAACAGAAAGACAGACTGATAGAAGAACCTTCATAAATCAACATAACATTTTATCCTGTTAAAAAAAAAATATTTTAAGTGGTTATTTATACTCTTTCGAGTCGAGCTTGATGATCTAAGTTTTTGCAATGAAAAGGAAAGCCAGGAGAAGAACGTACGTACCCACAATTATGCGACGCGTTTCGCCGTGTGTATACATGTGTATACCAGGAAGCAATTGTAGGTGTGTGGATTAATTATCCATCGCTACAACAAAAATCTGCTTTGAAAAGGACTGTTCCTAGAATGAAGACAAATGTTGAACTTTGACAAATTTGAATTTAATTCGCAAGTTTCGCATCAGGGCGGAATAAATACAAGTTTTCAACGTACGACATTTGTAAAGCCACATAGCCCAATATGCCTGATGAGCCGCTTAACCAACGGCGAAACGCGTCGCATAATGGTGGGTACGTAGGTTCTTCTCCTGGCTTTCCTTTCCTTGAAAAAACTTAGATCATCAAGCTCGACTCGAAAAAGTATAAATAACCACTTAAAATTACTTTCAAATGATCACTGCCCTTACAAGGCAAAATTCAAATAACAAAAAAAAAAAATATATATATATATATATATATATACTTTGTGGGGTCTCTGGTGTATATTTCGAAGTTTTGCAAAAAGAATGGCAAATTTAATATACACTCCACCTTATGATGGTGGCTAAAAAAAAGTTGATAAATTTTCCAAGTAATGAAACCCAAAATATATATTTCGGCTGGATTATCCTAAAATGATAAGTTCCGCAACATGGTTACACCTAAAGGTCGACTATCGATAATTTTTACTTGGAAAATTTGCCATGCTATCAACACACAAAATCAATCAATATGCGATAAGGTATCCCATAGCGACAGTACGATCGAAGGTACTTAAATCCCATTTCATAATGTTAAAAGTATTTCCAACAGTAATATACTATCAGTCTATAAAAGTTTTACTTGGTCTGGCAACCATTTATAAAATATGGAACTATATACGTTCACATGAAGTGGGCCGATAATCTCTATTTTCGAACATAATTTGTGTTGGAAAAGAAATCGAAGCGACATTTTTCCACCGACGACAAATTATCTGAAATGAATTTGAGGTCTTCAACGATATTTTGATTAGGTACATATCTTCATAACATGAGGTACTTACTTCAAAACAATAACAAGTATAAACTTCCTTCAACCGTTTGTTCCGAACAAACAACAACATCTTAATAGACTATCACACTGAATGTAGCGCCACATTGAAAACATCCTAAAAATTGGCAAACAAAAACAAAAAAGACGAACAACGCACAAAAACAAAATACATGCAAACTTTATATTGAAGAAATCAATGAGAAATCCGCAAACAACCATATGTCTCTCGTTTATCTTGTACATTTTCATATGGTTGCATGTTTAGTTATTAATCAATAAAGAAATATAAATGGATTTTCCTTTATATTTTAACCACATATAATCACACAAACACATATATACATACAAGAAAACACTTAAAGAATTTGTGGTCAAAAATATATGAATTTATAAATACAAAATTTTGTCATGAGTGGTGTTGTGGTTGCAAAAATATTTTTTTTTTTTTCAAAAAAAAACTTTGGTCTAAAAAATCCTCAAAATACAAAACAAA